AGTGGAACTACGACAAGGAGAACCGCGGCGCCTTCGGCAAGAAGGGACCGGGCAAGGTCCCCGCCGCGCGGCGTTTCAAGCCGGACACAACGACGCGGGCCGTCATCGACCTCGTCAACGAGCGTTTCGCAGAACACCCGGGCACGCTCGACGACTTCGACTGGCCCGTCACGGTCGAGGACGCGCGGCTCGCGCTGAAGGACTTCATTCGCCATCGCTTGCCGAGCTTCGGGGAGTATCAAGACGCGATGTGGACGACCGAGCCGTGGCTCTACCACTCGCGGCTGTCGGCGGCGATGAACGTCAAGCTGCTCGATCCGCGCGAAGTGGTGGACGCCGCCGTCGCCGCGTACGAGTCGGGCGCCGCGCCGCTCGAAGCGGTGGAGGGTTTTGTCAGGCAGGTCCTCGGCTGGCGTGAGTACGTGCGCGGGATCTACTGGACGCAAATGCCTAAGTATCTGGAACGCAACGCGCTCCGCGCGAACGAACCGCTACCCAACTTCTATTGGACCGGCGAGACGGACTACGCGTGTCTCCGCGACGCGATCGGTCAGACCCTGCAATACGGCTACGCCCACCACATCCAGCGGCTGATGGTGACGGGATTGTTCGCGATGATGCTGGGGGTCGATCCAAAGCAGGTGCACGAGTGGTACCTCGCGGTCTATATCGACGCAGTCGAATGGGTCGAGCTCCCCAACACGCTGGGCATGTCCCAGCACGCCGATGGCGGCCTGATGGCGAGCAAGCCGTACTGCGCAACCGGCAAGTACCTGCAGCGGATGAGCAATTACTGCGCGGGTTGCCGGTACGATCCAGCAAAAGCCACCGGTGACGACGCGTGCCCGTTCACAACCCTTTACTGGGACTTCCTCGCCCGCCATCGCGACCGCCTCGCCGGCAACAACCGCATGGCGATGCAGTTGAAGAACCTCGAGCGGAAGCCGGCCGACGAGCTATCGGCCATCCGGCAACAAGCAGCGAAGCTGCGCGAACAGTTCGCCGCAGCGAATGATCAGTAACCAAGCCCTTATGACCCTCGAGGGGCTAGGGGCTGAGGATTCGAGGGGCTGAGAGGCGAAGGGAAGGTCCGTGCGGTAGCACGCTATTGATCATTGGGGCTTGGACCTTGGTCATTCCCACATTGCATGCCCCGCATGGAACCTATGCTCTTTCCGCATGGCTTTAGCGTCTTGCTCACGCCCCCAAGCCGTCTATAACTGTGTGCTATTGGCCCACCCCCAACTGGCCCACCCCAACCATGGCCGCCCGGATGGGGCGGCTCCCGCCCGCACAACGGAATCTCTGGAGCACGTAATGAGCGATCACGATTGTTTTGAGGACTACCAGCTTCCCCCCGCCACGCTCGTTCAGAAGCAGGCGCCCGACTTCGCCGCTCAGGCCGTGATGCCGGACGGGTCGTTCAAGGAAGTGAAGCTGTCGGATTACGACGACAAGTACGTGCTGCTGTTCTTCTGGCCGCTCGACTTTACGTTCGTCTGCCCGACGGAAATCATCGCCTTCTCGGACGCCGCCGGCGAGTTCGAGAAGCTCGGCGTGCAGATCCTCGGCGTGTCGGTCGACAGCCACTTCACGCACCACGCCTGGACCCAGGTCCCGCGTTCGCAGGGCGGCATCGGCAAGACGGCCTACCCGCTCGTCGCCGACCTCACCAAGGGCATCGCCGAGTCGTATGGCGTGCTGCTGCCGGGCGGCATCGCCCTGCGTGGCTTGTTCCTGATCGACCAGAAGGGCGTCGTCCGCCACCAGGTGGTGAACGACCTGCCGCTGGGCCGCAGCGTGGACGAGGCCCTGCGGATGGTGAAGGCGTTGCAGTACTTCGAGAAGAACGGCGAGGTTTGCCCCGCCAACTGGAAGGAAGGCGCC